GTGGGGGGGGACATCGCTGAGCTGAAGCCAGGACAGGTACGGAGCACCGGGGGGGCACCGGGTGTCCAGCGGGGTCAGAGGTCCCCAGGGATGCCCCGGGCGGGCAGGGGGGACAGGAGAGGACGGGCAGCCTGCCCACGCTCCCGAGGGCCACGTCCCACAGGGCACCCTGACGCTGCTCACCAACGAGAGGGGCGGCATCGTAGACGACCTCATCATCACCAACACTTCAGAAGATCACCTCTACGTGGTGTCCAACGCCGGCTGCACTGACAAGGACTTGGCCATCATGAGGGTACGGGGCTGCCTGAGCCCCACGGGAGGTGGGGACACGCGGTGGGAATGAGTCGTCCAATCTTTTGGTGACGTCTGTGGCTGCGTGGGGTGAGGTGGCCACGGCCACATGTGGGGCTGGCACCAGCCTGGTCCCTGTGCTAGCAGCCCACTGTCACCCTGGCAGGGCAGAGCGGCGGAGCTGCAGGCTGCCGGCAGTGACGTCCACCTGGAGGTGTCGGACAACGCGCTGCTAGCTCTGCAAGGTAGCGGGGGCTCTGTGTGGGCTGGCACCAAGCATCACCATGTGGGGGTCTCACCCTCAGTGGGCGCTGGACTGCGCCCTCCTCTGGGTCCTTGCCCGATGGATGTCAGTGCCCTCCCCACATCCCCCCCTTCCCTGGACACTGCCGTCCCCTAGAGCCACTTGCCTCCCCAGGTCCCTCGATGGCACGGGTGCTGCAGGCAGGGCTGCCAGACGACCTGGCCAAGCTCTCCTTCATGAACAGCATCACCACGACGGTCTTCAGCGTGCCGGGCTGCCGGGTCACGCGCTGCGGCTACACCGGCGAGGATGGCGTGGAGGTACCCCGGGAGCCATGCCAGCACCACACACCCCCCCCCCCACCCTACGCAGGGGAAGGCTGTGCCCCGCTGACCCTGCCCGTGTCCCCCTGCAGATCTCGGTGCCCACTGGGCGGGCGGTGGAGCTGGCTGAGCGGCTGCTGGGTGTCCCTGAGGTGTGGCCAGCAGGGCTGGCAGCCAGGGACAGCCTGCGCCTGGAGGCCGGGCTCTGCCTCTACGGCAACGACATCGACGAGACCACCACACCTGCTGAGGCTGGGCTGCTGTGGACCTTGGGTAGGTCAGGGCCACGTCCGCCCCCACCTCCTCCTCAGGGCAGGCAGAGGGGCGAGGTGCCCCCACGTCCCCAACGGGGTGTAAGGGGACCAGGTGGGCATCGCCGACCCTCACCCGTCTCTGCCCTGCAGGGAAGCGCCGGCGCGCAGCCATGGACTTCCCCGGGGCAGCCATCATCATGGCGCAAGTGAAAGAGAAGCCGAAGCGCAAGCGCGTGGGGCTGACATCGGTGGGACCCCCCATCCGGCCCCACATGGCCATCCTGGGCCCCGAGGGAACACCTGTGGGTAGGTGGGGGCAGCAGGGCTAGCACGGGCATGGCCCCAAGCTGTGGTCACGGCAGGGGGCGGGGGGGGGGGGGGCAGCCACC